CAGTGTTGGCAAATGACAAAGTCATAAAAATTTTTATGAAAATGAATATAAATGACATGTCATTTTAAATTTATATTATCATTTTCATAAAAAAAAAATTATACAAAATGTTGGCAAAATGACAAGTCATAAAAAATAATATTATAAATGACATTAAAATGACATTAAAATGACAAATTAATAACGATAGTAAAAACAATTGATAATTAATTTGTATTACTTTGATTATCATTATCTATTGTATAACGATATAAAAATTAATTTTTACGATCATTTTTACTTTTAATTTTACAAAATGGGACGCAATCGGCATAAATGGTCTAGTTACTTTAAAATACTTGATGAGCTTGCAAATAAGAGTAATAAAGCAGCTATCTGTCGTGCTTGTATAGAAGTTTTAGGTGACGAAGCCAAAAAAATAACAAACAAAGCAAATTTATGTTATAATCATTTGAAGTCTTGTCCAAATTTTGCACAAAAGTATACTACTGAAGAATTAAAAAAAATTCTTCAACAAAACGATAAAGAAATTTTAAATGAATCTAATAATGAATCTAATAGCGAATCTGATGAAAGTTCTTCAAAAAAAGTCAAAACAGGTAAATTTTTATAGTTAAATATATATAGTATATAATTTTAAATAACGTTAAAAATTTTTTTAAAATATAGTTTCTCAAAACCTGATTAAACCTGTTAAAAGGCAAAGACAAACAAGTGTTAACCAATATTTGTGTCATCCATTACCTGACAATATTCAGCAGCAATTTGAACGACATTTAATTCGTGGAACAGTAATGAATGGATTATCATTTAGGTGGATACAAGATGAGGATATCATAGCAGCTTTTAAACTTGCTAATCCGGCTATACAATTACCCTCACGTCGTAAACTAAGTGGATCTATTCTAAAAAAAGAAGTAAACATTACAAAAGAGCAATTTGAAATTATGGCAAAAGATGACAATATTGGAGTTACTCTAATGTTTGACGGTTGGAAAAATATAGTTAAGCAAAAATTAATAGGAACTGTACTTATGACTTCTAAAGGCAAAGCACTTGTATGGAATGCAGAAGATATTAGTTCAGAAAGAAGTTATGCTAGTAATGTAAATTCATTTACTGAACGATATATTGAGGAGTTAGCTACAAAGGAAATTAATGTAATTTGTATAGTTTCTGATTCTGCAGGGGAAAATGTTAAATCACGGTATGTATATACTATGGTATATATCGATATTTATAAAAAAAGCTAATTCTTAATTTATTTAGAAAGGAGCTACGTATTCAATATCCAAATATAGTTTTTCTTCCCTGCTTCGCTCACCAGGCAAATTTATGTGTAGGAGATGTCTTTAAATCTTCAGAAAGATATAAAGAAATTTCAAATCGAGCTATAAAGGTTATTAGCTTTTTTAATATGTCGACATACTTTTTAGGAAAACTTCGCAATCAGCAAATGATTCTTTATAATGGAAAAGCCTTTGCTTTAACATCACCTTGTGATACAAGATGGAATAGTTTTTATCACAGTTTTCATAATATTTTAAAATCAAAAGGGGCACTGACGGTAATAATATTTTTTTTTTTATAATATTGATACGTATTTTTTATTAATTATAAAGCATATTTTAATACATAATAATGCTTCGATAATTATTATAGGTACTTGTAACTAATATAGAAAATTCAACTAATTCGGATGATAAAAAATTTCCATCTGACATAGCTGAAATTATAAATGATTCTACATTTTGGAATGATTTAAAAGAGTTAAATGATATTCTTCTTCCATTTTGCGCGACACTTAATCAACTTCAGTGTGATTCAGCACGCTTATGTGACGTTATGCATGCATATGCATAGATAGTAGATACAATTCAAAAAAAGCCTGATTCGCCTTTTCGTTCACATATGTTGTTACGTTTAGAGAGACGATGGGTTCAGTGGGAACAGCCACTTCTTATATTGTCTTGGCTACTTCATCCAAACTATGGTTTGAAAAACCTTAATGTTCATTTAAACGGATTATCAGCACCAATGTTAGGAAAATGGATAGTTTATTACTATATGCAATGGTTTTCTGTAAGGCCTGAAAATATTTTATCTGAGCTTGAAGACTTTTTAGCAAGCAATTCGCCATTCGACGCAATATCCTTCAATCAATTTCGTGGCAACATAATTAAATATTGGGCTTTTATTGAACGGGGAACTCATAAGGAGCTAGCAAATTTAGCACTTCATTTATTTGGAATTTGCATTAATAGCGCTTCAGTTGAAAGATTATTTTCAACTATGGGATTTCTACATAGCAAACACAGAAATAAGCTTGGGATATGTTACTAGTATATTCGAATTTTAATTGCAGTTCCAATAGTATTTGATTTCTATGAGCGAAGATTTTTTTTAAAGAAAGGTATTAAAAACAATTATTTGGGTTGTGAAAAATGTACGAATAAAAATGTGCAAGTTGTAGTCAATAAGGTATGTATATTATTTTTCAAAATTCGGTAATTCAATTTAAAGCAACTAAAGATAATATACGATTAAATAAATTTCTTTTAATAATAGCTCAAAAAAGCTGGTAACGAATCTTCTGCAATCTAGTTAGATGAATCTAAATTAATATAATATTTAAACTTTGTCCTTTTTCATAAATCATTAAATTAATATAAGTTACACATTAATAAATTTTTTATAGATTGAACGCAAATATCCAATATAACAACAGGTAAAGATAGATGATTTATTTGAGCATCGCCAAGAAAAAACCCACAATTCTAAAAATAGATTATTATGAAGATTCATAATAATCTATTTTTAAAATTGTAGGTTTTCTCTTGGCGATACTCATTTGTAATAGGTTTCTTAAAAAATAAATTATTAGACATATTCAAATTGTAACTTTGCAATTCTTTAATTTAGTATCAAACGTATAATTCTCAAAAAATAATTCAAAAATAGACAAGTTGAAATATGGACATTGATAATCGCATCAAAGAATCTTAAGCAAGTAATCCTGGCTGATAACTAAAAAAAAAATCGGCTAAGCTGATTTTTAATTTGGTACGATAATTTTTAAATATCAGGAATTGATATAAATATGAGCGTATTAATCCAGAAATTTTTTGAATACTAATAAAGCGTCTTGCTCTTTGTTTTATATATTAGAAATGGATCAGATTTTGATTTACAAAACTATAAATAAGGCAAGAGCAAAGAAACCCTTGTAATGACAGGATGTGCACATTATCAAATTCGAAGTTATTATTTAATAATTGCAAAAAAAAAAATTATGGACGTGACTTTAGGTATTGGTTGGTCACGACAGTTGTGCGCGGGCGTGGGGCGCATAATATAAAAGGCAGAGATTTAATTTTCAAGATTTATTATAAGTTAAGTAATATGTTTTTATTAATTATATCGTATAGACAGTTGACTAACCTTATGAATATATATTTTCTACTTTAGATCTAAGTTCAAAAGCTATATGCAAAATGTATCGAAATTAACTTAGAGATTTTATACTATTGGAATTGCAAGTTTCATATTTAACGATTGTTATATTAAAATACTAATCTAACAAATTATTAAATTTAGTATAAAAAAGTTCTTGAAATGAGTCAATTCCGGGGAAAAATAAAGCAAGAGCGCAAGTTAAAAGCTATTGAAAAAGCGGCAAAACAAATTCACAATCCTAACATTCTATTACCTATATCTTCGGATACTGAAGAAAGTTATTCGTCTCAAGAATCAGATTTGGAATACGATCATGTAAATAATAATAGTAATAATATTCATTGGGAAGAAATAATTACAAACTGGTCATCACTTTTAAGAGATGAACAATTCGAAGAAGAATTAGATTTTATGGATGTAGATGAAATGGTACATCCTGCTACGAATCAAGATGCTAAGTGGCCTTTGTTGCGAATTTTTCAAAATCATATTGTACAACCTGATTCTTATAATTTGTTATTAGGAATTTAGATAGAAATTTATTGACTTTATTAGTTAATAAACATTATGATTCATAAATGACAACTATAGTCATAAAAAATAAATGATTTTTTTTAGGACAAATATGACTTGTCATATGACAAGTTGTCATTTATTTTAAAATGACAAAGTGCCAACACTG